AAATCTTCAAGATCTTAAGACGAAATTAACATTTTATAGATTTAAAAATACTGAGAATGGATTTATTATAAGTACTAAGCTACCTTACATAGATACTAGCTGATCTGGCAAACGATGTATTGCAAAACAAAAAAAAATAGGGATGGGTAACTCTTACCATTTAGGGGTATGAAAAATAAATGTTGGCCGATACTCAGACCTACCCGATGTGCACACAAAATTTCATGAGCATCGGTCAAGCCGTTTCGGAGGAGTACGGGAACGAACATTGTGACACGAGAATTTTATATATAAGATAAGGTGTCACCTTAAGGCAGGGACACATATGTACCTACGAGGGCGTCTCCCCCCCGGGGCTGGGTGTAATCTGCTACGCGGATGACACTTTAGTCACGGCCCGGGGGGCTAACTTCCAGGAGGCGGCGCGGCTGGCCGCCACGGGAGTTTCCCTGGTGGTCGGGCGCATTGAGGCGTTGGGTTTGCGGGTGGCCCTGGATAAGACGGAGGCCCTATTATTTCATGGGCCCCGTCGTGGTCCACCCGCCGGCGCCTCAATCGAGGTCGGCTCGGTCCTCGTACCGGTCCGATCCGGTAGATGAGGTACCTGGGTCTGGTCCTAGACGGTAGGTGGCTCTTCGACGAGCACTTCTGACAGCTTGGTCCGAAGCTGGTGGACACTGCCTCCGCCCTAGGGCGACTTTTGCCCAATTTGGGCGGGGCCAGTGTTCCCACGAGGCGGCTGTACGCGGGGGTTGACCGGTCCATGGCGCTTTATGGTGCACCGGTGTGGGTGGCGGCTCTGACCGCCCAGAATAGGGCATGCCTCTGGCGCCCTCAGAGGGTAATGGCGGTCAGAGCCATACGCGGTTACCGCACCGTTTCGACGGAGGTGGCTTGCATTGGCCGGAACTCCCCCGTGGGATTTGGCGGCGGAAGTGCTCGCCGAAGTTTATCGGCGAGTGGCTGACTCCCGGGCGGAGAGCGGATTTCGTCCTCCGCCCGAAGACGTGCGCGAGTGGCACGAACCCGCTCGCCGAGCCACGATGGCTCGTTGGTCGTTACGGCTGGAGACTTCACGCGCTGGCTTCGCCGCCGTGGAGGCTCTCCAGCAGGTCATCGCCGAGTGGGCAGCGCGGCAGCACGGGACCATTACCTTCCGGTTGACGCAGGTGCTTTCCGGGCACAGTTGCCATCAAAGTTTATCAAAGTTGGTCAAAGTTACTACTTTATAGTTCATGGCACCCTTTGATTCCAATAACTATACATGACTAATGTTTTAATGGTTTTCAATATACATCGTTTATATTTATATTGTATATAAAATATATATAAATATGTATTTGTATGTATGTATAATTATATAATGTATATTTATTTATTTTTACACTACGTTAGCTTCAATACACTTAGACTACCCACTGTTTCTTCTTATCTACTGTCAATTTGTCCATCCAAAGGTTGCCTGAAAGAGATTGCTATTAGCAATAAGGCCGCCCATTGTACATATCCATCTGTAATAGTTAACCAATTATTATTTATTTATTATAAGTTGATTTTACTTCGCTTGAACTCTATACTCATAATTACATAACACAAAAGTACTTACGTGTCTGCTATCTAAGGAGTTACAAATTTTGTACTTACACGTAATCACGTAAATAAAACAAGTTTTGCTTTAAGAATTTTGTTTTTTTTTTTAACTCCTTTTAGATTATTTAAAAAACACATCGTATCATATAAGCGGCACAACTTAAATGCAAATAAAGAAGAAAATATAATAAAAATGAAATGGATGGTTTTCAAAATATTAATTAGTGTTCTTACGCTTAAAAAATATGTACAATTTATAAAATTTGAACCACATATAATGTAATCTTTATTGTGTGACACTTATATTTAATGTTGTAAAGGGGTGTTGTTTTTGCAATACGTAGAGGAAGGTGTTATACCTGTGGACATTTGCCGGATTTTGAATGAAAATATGGTTTAATGATTTATTTTTTATTTATTAGCCGTAAAGTATTACACATGTTGTTACAGGATTAGTTAACACTTAAAAATTAGCAGTCTTTAGTTTTGTACGAATTATGTTGATTAAAATAAACCAGTTTTTTTTAAATCACTAAATTTGTCCACAGGTACATCTTATGATTGTACCTCTGGACAGAAATACTTGTACCTATGGACGGCAATGTACCTATGGACAGATCACTTTTCCTTACATAATAATTCTATAAAAATCAGCAAAAATAAATAGAATATCTTTATAAATCAACTTTAACATTAAAGAATCAATTATACTTTTTGGTTTTGGCATCTAAATAATTTTTATATAGTTTTAAGGCAGAATCATCAGAGACATCTGAATCACCATCATCTAAAATATAACACTTTTGACATAAGAAGTCTGACTCATCATCTGATTCAAAATTATCTAAATGTGATCTTGATACACATTTCTGGTGATATTTCAAATCGCATTGAGAACAATTGAGCAGTTTGTAAACATTTTCATGTCTTTTACATCCCATACACATGGCATAGGGTAACTGCTCATCTTGAAGAATTGTGACGCTTTTTTCTGCAGATTGAATTTTTATCTGACTAGGGCCAGCCTCTGCTAGCAATTCAGAGGAATGTTTTGTCTTTTTCGGTAAGCCTTTTTTCTTATTTTTGTTCTTTTCAATTTTCCTTTTCTTTTCTGCCTTTCTAATTGCTTCGTTCTTTATTTCGTTTTTTTCTGGTGTGTTCGTTAAAATCCTACTCTTTCCAGGTTTCCTTCCTTGTCGAGTTGCTTTTCGAGGTTCTGCTTTTAGAAATGGGCGTACAGACTCTGGCGTTATTTGCGGAATAAGCTGTTTTCTAGGAGTGCTTGTTACTGCAGCTACTGATTTAGTTTCTGTATTTAGATTTGTTTGATGAACTTCCGAAGTTTCAGGAATATGCACAACTTCATCTACACTGCTATTAGGCTTCTGTATCTCCTGGCAGTCGCTAAGATTTTCATCTTGATTGCAGTTTAAGTTGGTTGCTAACTCGTCAGTGACAATCTGACTTTGAGTTAAATTATCAGAAACTGTGATCAATGGCTCTGGTCGATCAGTAACAAATGAGCATAGAAAATCTTGTTCACTGAATATATCTCTATTAAATGGGCATATACCTGTTACTTCGAAACTTTTAACAATGTTTTTGGGTAAGCAAGGGGATATGCTTCACCGATGATTTCAGAAATATCGTAAATTGTAATTGGCTTTCTATGCGGATATATGCGTTTCATGGTTGTCCATTATTAAGAGAATCGGGCCATCTTTCGTAGGTTTGACAAATTTTATGAAATGATCCAAATATTTTCTAAAGATCAATTCAGTTGACCATCCGGATTGGTTGGCTGCACCAACTGTACCTGGAGGGGCACCTTTTAACATGTTGTCTTTAAAGAAAACTCTAGAAAACACTATTAAAGGTGGAACAGAATTTCCAACTGCATTTATACAGGCAATCATGGTATTATTTACTCCTCTTTCTCCTGATGTAAATTTACCTAGCTGTTTAATTTTTTTTGGAGCCAGCACTTTTCTCGGGATATGAACTGTGGATATTCCGGTCTCATCTAGATTATAAATATTTTCAGGGGTGAATTGATGTTTTTCAATAACTTTTTGGAGGTTATCAAAAAATTAAGAAATATTAGCTCTATTAAAACTACTTGCTCGAGCCAGACTGGTTGCTTCGGGTTTCCGTAGGGACAAATGTGAATGACGTTGACGATAGTATCTTAGCCATCCTATCCCAGCCATTTTGTTTACGTGCCAGTTATTTGGGATGTTTTGTTTTTGCTTCACCACTGCAAACTGGTATGCCAGTTCTCTGACTTGTTTAGCATTCAAGCCCATATGAAGATAAGCTGCTTTTTCTAAATATTCTGCAAGCTGGTTTTCTTCTTCCTCATCAAATACTTTCTTCACGTCATTTCTCAAAATAACTACACTGTTCTCGCTCAGATCATTCTCCTTATTCATGTGAAGGTATTTAAATATCGTAGATTTTGGTATTTTATATTTTTCTGCAACTTTTCGCAATGAACATCCACTTCTCGCCTCTTTAATTGCCTCAGATAACGTCTCTGAACACAACCTACGTCTTGTTTTTCCGTCCTTACTACGAGGCACTGAAAAATGGAAAAAAATGAAATTCTAAATCGTAATATGTTGATTAAATAAGAAATTCGAACTAAAATTTGTACCTGTGGACAGTCCATAGGTACATACACTTCGATGTCCACAGGTACTAATCAGACAGTACAACCTAAAAATTTATTACCGGCATGATAGGTACTAGTTTACACCGCTATACCGCTGTAAATGGATGTTTAACTACATGTACTACAGTATGACTAAAAATATTCATCTATATTCGGCGTATGTTCACAAAAAAATAGGACGAAAAAGAGATAAATACTTACTTTTTTGAGCGAAAACCCTTAACGGTCTGTCACCGGTCACACAACTAAAGATACAAAATGGCAGCAAGTCAATGTTGCCACCCATCAAAAATACTTTACGGATGCGTTCAATTCGTTTAAATGCTGTGTTTATTTTTTGAAATATCAGTGATGTCCACAGGTAAAACCGTTCATAGGTACAACACCTTCCCCTATCTAATAATTGCATATTCAGTAAAATTTAATTTACTTAGTTACATTTATAAAACTCAAAACCTTTTTTTAAAGCTATAATTAACATTTATTACACTATACTTTGATATCGCATTTTACTTACTAATCAAGTTTTATTTCATACTTCGAGGTCCTAAATATTTCATAGACTACTTACAGCTGTTGCAGAATTTGAAAATACCGAGTTATTCAACATGTTTTAAATGGTCACTAATAAAAAGTGTTTTTTATTCTCTTACCGGTCAACCACGCGTATAATATAATTTTATTATAAAATAATACCTTGTTTACAAATATACATATTAAAATATTTTATTAATAATTACTTTGCATCCTTAAATATAAAGTTGAACGGTCCCTTTACATAAATAAGCGAGGTCTGAACCAACTTCGGAGGAGGACCGAACCATTCCACTTTGAAGTTCTCTATGACGCGTGTTAAAAACGTTTCAATTTCTAACTCAGCTATGCGGCGACCTGGAAATATATTTGACACACGTTAAATGAATATATACCCTTAGTCATAAGTGAGGTACGAGCGCTTTATGGCGTCAGCGTTTACTGTCATGGCTACGCTTATAAGCGTGATCTTAAACCTTCCTAACCTATCAGATCTTAAGCATATAACCTTCTCTAAGAGTTGAGCTATCAAACAAATTAAGAATTACTTTAGGAATTTTAAAAAATAACTGTATAGTAAATTCAAGTAGAAAATGAAATTTAAATTATTCTTTAAGAAAAACTAAAAACCACACTTTAAACCAAACTAAAAAGGTAGAAATACTTTTTATTAACAAAAATAGTACAATTAACAGGACATTTCATCGTTGTATTCCCTAGAAAAAATTGGAAGCAAATGGAACTATATTTCTATTTACGTTTAAAAATCGACCGTTTTACTGTGGCTTCTTTATTATAAACACTTTTAAAAAGGACAGGTAATTTATTTCAAAAGTTAAATTACTCTACCTCACCTAATCTTTTCAACAAAATTTTGTAGTTGGATGAGGTGTTTTATCTATTCTGATATAATACGATCCTCGCAAATAAGTCGAAGAGAGAGGAGTTGAGAGAAAGGTCAACCAGGTTATCTTTAACAACTTTTTTTTTATTTATTTTTTATTGGGACTAATTCCACCCACATATGTAATGTAATGCCCACCACTGTAACTCCTGTATATAAGGATCTACAGCAGTGACCCACGAACATACCGACTTTTAACACTCGGGAAGTCCCAGGAAAAAATTAAACTGCCTTGGAACCCGCAACGAAATTAATCAGAAGAAAATTGGAGGAGTTGGAAATACAGTAAATCCACTTCCCTCCTTAGCAAAGCGGATGACAAAATGAAGTAAAATAGGCATACACCCTTTTAAACAGGGAAGCACCATGGCCACAAATTAATATGTGTCCTACGTGAGCTATATTTGATTTTTATAATATGTATGGTAGAATGGCCTAAACGCACGGCAATTCACCCTAGGAACCTGGAAGGTTTTATTGGGTGCAAAAGTTAAGCGATTACGTTCACCCCATTTTCAAACCAAGTTCAAACATCTATTGGCTAATCTCTCTTTAACAACTATGAGTTAACTTATTCCTATAATAATTTACCTATACAGCTGCGAACACCAAAGCCAAATGGGGCAAATGTTAATGGATTAGTGTTCCCATAGTAAAGTGGGTCATCTTTCTCTGCAGTCCACCGCTCGGGAATGTACTCCTGCACCCGCGGATAATGTTTTTCCATTAATGACATTTCGCGGTGAGAGAATACAATGTTCATCTGAAATAAAAAAAATATAACCGGTGAATTGACAGTTACAGACTACAGTTATAGTTTTTTCGGATTGCGCTTCCCTTTAAAATCAGGATGTCCACCAACACTATTTCTTTTTAGTAAAAGTAAAATGATCATGGTATTACCAGGAAAGCCGATAGATTTCTGGATGCCTCAAGTAGGTACTCATTTCGGCTTTCACACGTACGTACATGTGTACGTATGATATTTAATAAGAATCGCAGTAATTACAGTAATAGTACAAGTAAATATTATTTAATTACTCGTAGAAATATTTATTACCATTGAAATACTTAACAGAACTGTCTGAATAACTGAGTTTTTGATGTGAATGGTTCAAAATACCTATGTATACACAGATTTATTATCGCTTACATTTACTTCTTCACTCATAGCTTCAATAATATTTCTACTTCAGCGGACTGGTTTATCCTGGGATTAGGGATCCGTGAAGACAGGATCACATCAATGTCATTAGTTCAATGGATTTGTAGTCTTCGTTTTTTGATCCATATAGGATAAAGTTTGAATAAATTGCTATGTTCAGTTTAAATCTATTATTTCTGAATATGTAATAGTCTATTTTACGTGCCCGTCGTTGGTAGAACATAATGACTATGCGTTGTCATATGTAGTGCTCTTTGCTATTTGTATTTCTTAATAAATATACTGAATCTGAATCAACTGATTTGACTGTTATATTTCGGATATTATTAATCAATATAAAATTAATATTTTAACATTATACAATGTAGCTTACTTACGCCTTTGGGTATCTTGTAGCCCATCAAGTTGTAGTCTTTTGTAGCTGTTCGAATGTTACCGCCGACGACTGGCATCATTCTCATCCCTTCTTTAATACATGCTTTCAGATATGGCCTTTTAATTGATTTGGAAAGAATTTCTTCTCTCAATTTGTCCTGCTTGTCTTGATGTGTTGCCAAAAGATAGAGTGTAGCTGACATTGTATTAGCGGCCTGAAATTATAATCGCGTGCAAAATTAGTATCCGCATTGCCGACTTTTTAATAAACTAATAACGAATGATTTTCTTATAATTAATATTTTTGATGAGTTGAAAGTTCCAAAGTTTGGAAGTGAGCTAAAAGTTGATCGAAGTCAATGGAATGCGCATTTGACCGATAGTATATTATCATCATCATCATCATCATCAACAGCCGTAGGAGACGCATATGTCCAGCAGTGGACTACTAAAGTCCACTGCTGGACATATGCGTCTCCTTAGAAAGGAGGTTTTGGCCTATTATACCAAGCTAGCCAGACGGGTTGGTGTAGGGTTTGTTTCAAGTTTTCCTTCTCTTTGCAGTGCTGTTGTCCTGCGTAGTTTGTTCCCTTAGTCGGCTCTTACGACACCCACGGGATGAATAGGGGTGATGACACTCTGTATTCTTAATCCGTCACCACACGGACATGATGATGATGATGATGATGAGGCAGAGCTTGTGTACCATAGCCCACCCATTGTGTAAAAGTTCGTCACTTACCGTATCTACTCCTGCAAACAACATGTCACTGGCCATAATGTAAGCGTACTCTTCGTTGATTTCGAGTAATTTCTCCAATACTCCCTTTTCATTATTTGACTTCTGATTAGCATTCAATTTCAGTTGTTCTACGCCTTTTTTGACAAAATGTTTTGTAAGGCTACAAAATTTAAATACCTTGTAACAAAACCAAACTCCTCTCTTTTAAACTATAGCAGATTCATTACAACTTTAAATTTTATATATTTACGTGTAACTAGGTAAGTATTTATGTATGTGTATGAATTTGGTACGTATGTGTGTATGTATAATTATTGAACTGTATCTGTCTAACTTCTCAATAATTGTCTTTCACTTTACATAGGGCACCTAGTTACACATTTCAGCACCACCCTAAGGTAGACTGGGAGAAAACGCCTGTGGCGTTAAGTCCGCCATTGTACAACTCATTCTTGTGCATAAAAAAATTAAATAAAAAAAAAATGTATTCGTAAGGACAGGCAAGAGTTTTAATATTTATTTAGAATAATTACTTACTTTTCTTGATGTTCAAACAGTTTCATAGCTTTTCTATAATTGGGTGTTGAAATGTATCGCCATAAACCTGGTCTAAAATCTAATTTATCTGCCATAACGAAAAGGTCATGAATACATTGAATAAGCTGCCTTTCCGGGGAGTCTTCAGCTAATGAGCGATCAAGGCAGTTTAAGCGACAGCCGAGAGCTACTGTTGCTATCGATTCTAAGGCCCATAAGTTCATCTCGACATCGAAATTGTTTCGAATCATGTTCTTCTCGTCCCGATTCGCCTTCATTCTAAAACATACTTATAAATTAATACTAATACTTTCTACTTACAAAGAAGTATTAAGAAAAACGATAAAGCAGGAAAGTTGCAGAGATCTATTAAATTAACAATTTCAAAATTACCCACTGAGTCGAGGTTTATTTTAATTTTTTAATTAGCCTCTGCACCAAATATAAGCAACATACTTTATAATGTTTTGGTTGATTTTGACCAATCGATGTACTTTTAACTTCTATTTGATTGTGATTTTCTTACCTTTTGATCATATCTTGCGCCACTTCGTCGAGAACGCTAGAATACAGTTTAATATTTGTCGGTTGTAACATAACTGGATTAACCGTGGATCTGAAATCCTTCCATACCTCTCCGTGACTGCAATTGAAAAAAATATTAAACTTTGAGACTTAAACATTTATTTTTAAAAACCTTAATTCTTTTTATAAAAAATATTCATGTCAGTAAATATATATTTGAACTAAACAAACAAAACCGTGGTAATTAGATCTTTGGTATAAGAGTGTGTAGAGTGAAATTAATGTTATTGTTTTGATGTTCGTTAGTGGTTTATAACATTTTATTAATATTTTCTCTAAAACTAATATAGATAGTTCAACTCAGTTGTGCGCGCGGCCCTATGTGTGCGTGGGCTTGTAAATATACAACTTTCATTCGTGTGGCAATCGTCGTCCGACTGCCGCGTCACTGCCACAGTTGAACTATCTATAGCAGTTATTGTTTTATTAAGATTATTTATTGCGTGTATTCTACACAAATAATCTCTCTCACTTTCAAAGAACCTCAATGATATGAATGTTTTCTGTTTATCATATATTTTATAAAATGTGAGTAAATTATATCGTCTACGTACTCAGTGATAAGGCCTGTAGCACGACTATTTTGTCCTTTGCCATTCTTGTATTCTTTTCTATAATGTTCAAGTGAAAAGAAACCAGGCCGTATCGGTAACCAATTTTCGCTCCTTAATACCTAAAAAAAAAAGAGAATATTGTTTTTATTTCATTTTTCTTTCCTGCTTTTCTATTGCCGAGCGATGTTTATAGGACTGTTTTTATTCAAACCAGACGGATCATATTGAAATTTGGCCTGTTTCTTTTCTAGTAGAAATGGTGTAAACTGTCGAACTTTAATACTTTCAGTCCTTGATTAATAAGCAAAAGACAACTCCCGCATGAAAGGGACACAAAGAACAACAATTTGTCGATTACACAAAGTGTTGTCCCATGTAGGGATCGAACTCACAATATTCAGCGCAGTAGGAAGCGGTGTTGGAACCGCTTAAACTATTGAGCCACCCGTGCTGTTTTTAATTACTACGGTATTTAGCAAATATCTACTTACCTTTCCAAATACAGCTATGAAACATTAGTTGAATTATCTCTTGTTAGATAATATATAAGAAAGATAAGAGCATAGAAAATGGCGGCTATCTAACACGTTGTGGTCGCGTTATATCCCATACATAGTTTTTTAGGGTTCCGTACCTCAAAATGTAAAAAATGAACCCTTATAAGATCACTTTCTTGTCCGTCTGTCCGTGTGTCACCACCGATTTTCTCAGGAACGGGTAGACCTAGCAAGTTGAAATTTATACCAGATACTGCGGTTTATGGTCCCTATTAGGTGTATAAAAATCAACACGGTAAAAAGATATGGGAATTTTCGATTTTCGAGAAAACTTGTAAGTACCAAAATTTACCTCAATTCTCTTTACTTGTGCTGTAAGACCTTACTTTTAACCAAAATTGTCAATTCTAGGTCAACCGGAAGTACCCTATAGGTTTTGGGTCGAAAACCTATATGGTGGTTCCCGTTGACCTAGAATCACGAAATTTGGCAAAAAGAAACGTCTTACAGAACAAATTTTGGTACTTACAAATTTTCGTGAAAATCTACGTAAAATCTGGGTAGGTACGGAACCCTCGCGCAAGCTCGACTCGTATCTGACCGGTTTCTTTTTTAAGTTAATTGTTCATAACAAAAAAAATACGGGAATTTGCCTCTGATTTTTCCTGTTTCTTCAGCAAGGTCTTTCTCTCTGTCTTTATCAACTACTTTTAACTATTTTCTAACTAGTATATGTTATTTTTAATGATTTAACTCTGCTATAAACTTAAAGAAAAGATCTTACTTAAAAATTATTGCAAATTTAAATTAAATTGCCTATTGCAAAAGTCACAGTCGAAGGTGAACAGAAAAATAGGTACGAAAGAGAAAGAGAAAAGAACGAGAAAAAACAAAAGATAATTATGTCTAAGCTGAGAACATATTTGAGAGAATACCGATCAGTTTAACTTGTCTTTCTTTAAAAACTTGATTAACTTACGATACTATATACAGCTATATGCTAAAGATATGATAAACCTTACCTTGACTTAATGAGGCAGCTGCGTATCAAACGACTGTCTGATTTCTGAAGTGGATTGTAGACAAAACGATTAACGTAATAACTGTACTTAATTCATTAAACTTCTTACATGGCTAATAAAACTTACATGAGCTGCAGTTTCTGGGTCGCCTAATATAATCATGTCTTTAGTACCAAGCATACCTTTAAATTTAATCAAGGGACCATATTTGTCAAATAGCCTTTGTATTGCACCGGGTACTTCGAAGTTTTGGAGTTCGCCTGTCAATAAATGTTTTTTTTTAAGAAGTGCATTTCATTCCTGTATATCTAAACTTATACAAAAATACATACATATATATAATATAACAACATATAGTACCATATTATAAGTATAAAATCATCTAATACAAAAATACTGATACACTATCCAAGTGGATTTTTGTATAGATTGGATTTTTGTAAGTAAAAAATGTCGTTAATTTTCTGTTTAAAGTGTCGTACGTTTTATATTGTTCAATTTTTGTTTAAATTAAATGTCTGATAAATTACATGCATGCATGTTAATTACTGGCGAAAGTGTATCGTGCCTATAACATGTTTATACTGCCCTTTTGTACCACCTTTTAAGCAAACAAATTAGCTATTATTATTTTTGTTAAAATATACCTTTTGTACAAATAGAATTACAGTTTCCGAGGGCTAGCCTAATTGATTTAGAAAGCTTACATTCACGGCACCGGAGCCACGGGCAAAAAAACTTTTGTTGTTTGTCAGTTGGTTTCGAGTTTTATTGAAAGTTATAACATTATATCATCAAGAATGCTAGTAGATGGCCGCAATAGTTTTGCGAGCCAACTCTGAAGAAAGTTTTATGTTTTAAATACTTGTTACTTTTATCTTTAGATTCACTTCAACTTTGTAAACAGTGTTCAGGTTACCTCCAGGAAGAAAGTGATGCAGCATACCAATAAATGGCAATGTTGATGGACCTGGAATTTCTTTCCATGATTTCAGATTAGCATCTGTTTTAACGTCACTACCGTTGCTTGTTGCTGCTATTGATCTAAAACATAAAAAGAAACAAAACCATTTTTATGCTAGACAGGTGATAAGACTTGTCGGTAAATGGACATTTTTATTGCGTGCTGCCATAACAGAGAAGTAAATAATGCTAAAATAAATAAATAATAATTCGCCCCTTAATTCAAGCTCTGCTTAGTTTGGGACTAGATGGCGTTGTGTGAACGTGGTAAAAATATATTATATTATTATTATTATATTATTCGCCCCGTACTCGTAATCTCCTCCACATCATCTAATCCACTAGTCTCCATGTCCTCCCCCTTCAAGCAACTCATCACAACATTGAGCACCAAGATACTTGGCTTGACCTAATTATCACCTCTGCTCCAAGACTTGTCTATTCCCATGGTCAATATCCTGCTCCTGGATTTTCCCATCATGACTTGATCTTCCTTTCTTATATCCTGAAACCCCCTAAATCCGTTCCCAAATTTCTGCATATTGGTAGTTTCAGACGAATGGACGTCAAAAACCTGTGTGCAGGCGCTTCTGCATTAGACTGGACAGACTTGGCTGCAGCTACAGACATGAACGAAAAAGTTACTCTTTTTAATGACGCAGTTCTTAACCTGTATGATATCCACGCACCTGTGAGGAAAGTCAAATTGAAGCGCCCTCCGGCTCCATGAATGACGGAGGAAATTCGAATGGCTATGAGACGGAGAGACCGTTGTTTTAATGGGTACAGGAAGGATCGCTGTGAGGAGAAATGGAACCTCTTTAAAGCTGCTAGAAATCGGTGTAACCAGGTGATACGTAACGCAAAACGCCGCCATATATTTCAAAATATAGAAACCTCTTCAACTTCCAGTGTGTGGAAGTTCCTTGGAACACTAGGCATTGGCAAGCAACAACGCCCTGAGTTTAAGATGACAATTGGTTTAGATGATATTAACCGTCATTTCTCAACTACACCTCCGTTGGATCATCAAACCAAGTGTCAAACCTTGAGCTATATAGCTAGTCTAACCCACCCTGATATTAAATCCTTTGACTTTTCTCCGGTATCTTCTGAGGACATCAAAAAGATTATCCTATCCATTCGTTCCAATGCTGTGGGATGTGACGGTATCAGCCGTCGCATGATTGTTACCATCCTGGATCACGTTCTTCCAGCAATATCTCATATCATAAACTTTTCACTTGACTCTGCAACCTTTCCCTCACTCTGGCGTAAGGCCTTCATCATTCCTTTACCCAAAAAAACTAACCCCTCTCTTCCCGAACACTTTCGACCAATTTCTATACTTCCCTTTCTTTCTAAAGTGCTAGAGGCCTGTGTACATAAGCAGCTCGCACAGTTTGTAAATCAGCAGAATCTTCTTAGTCCTTTACAATCTGGGTTCAGACCTGGTCACAGCACAACCACCGCTCTCCTCAAAGTGACAAGCGATATTAGGGAGGGTATGGAGGAGACTAAAGTCACAGTGCTGGCTTTGATTGATTTCTCGAATGCCTTTAATACCGTTAGTCATGACGTTCTACTGGCAATCCTTTCCTATCTTATGATCTCCTCAGAAGCTCTGGAATGGTTCTCCTCCTATCTTCAGGGACGACAACAGAGTTTTCATATTGATGACTTGTCGTCGAGTTGGTGTGATCTTCTCACTGGCGTCCCTGAAGGCGGCATATTTTCTCCCTTATTATTCTCAATATTCATTAATCTCATAACCCAGCACCTTCAGTGTACGTATCACCTGTACGCTGAACCTGTACCTGTACTTACAAGTGTACACACAGACAAGGGTTGAGGACATAACATACGCTATCGACAAAGTCAACAAGGACTTGGACTTTATAAAGAGCTGGTCAGGTTTGGTTTGTCGGTAAATCCAACCAAATGTCAAGTGATCGTCGTGGGGAGCAAGAAAATGATAAGTAGGTTGGATATGGCGGTCATCCCACCAGTTGTCTACAACAATGTGACTATACCTTGTAGTGCAGTGGTAAAGAACCTGGGGTTATATATCGACTCGACACTTGACTGGCGGGCACAGGTTACACACGTCGGCCAGAAAGTCACCACATGTCTCCGTGCCTTATATCGATTGAAGAACTTCCTTCCCGCTAAAACTAAGGCTACGCTTATGCAGTCCTTAATTATTACCATAATCGACTATGGCGATGTGTGTTATTTCGACCTGAATGCAGACCTTCTCAATAAACTAGATCGCCTTCTCAATAACTGCATTCAATTCGTTTTCAATCTTCGCAAGTATGACCACGTGTCTGCTTTACGTTCCCAGCTGCAATGGCTCCCAATTCGTCAGCGCCGCAGTTTACGAGCACTGACTTCTCTCTTTTCTTTCCTCAACTCTCCATCGTTACCTGAATACCTCGTACCCCACTTCCGTTTCCTATGCTTCAATCACGATCGAAATCTTCGATCAACCAACAATATGCTTCTTCTATGCCCCCCTCACACCTCTAACTTCATCAACTCCTCCTTCTACGTCCAGTCAGTCCTCCTCTGGAATGCCCTCCCTGCCGAAATCAGGATGTCAACAAATCGCCTCGCATTCAAGAGAAAAGTGCGCGATCTTCTTCGGGGTGAATTGGCGAAATAGTTACAGCTCTAGTTCCCGACTGAGTATTTATATATTTTATTAAATTTATGTAGGTTTATGTATGCATGTGTGTTTTTATATTGTGTATGTTTCTGGACCTAAATTATGTTAATATCATATTTTATTTTGCACCTACCGCATCATATTTCTACATCACCTGAAGGTTGACTGGGAGAGAATGCCTAATGGCATTAAGTCCGCCTTTGTACAATATGTGCATTAAGTTTAAAATAAATAAATAAATAAATAAATAGGTACATAAAAACTTTTACTAAGGACTTACTAAGACGAAAAGCTAAAATATACTTTCATAATTCAAATTCAAAACAGTTCTATTTCGGACCAGTGTCCATATAGATGAGACTATCTAAATATTTATTATGCTTGCAGACCTTTTATGTCAAACTATTACAAAGCTAAGCTATACTATTATAAAGCTAGCGCTAGTCCTATTTGAAAACCAAGCCTACATGCAGAATAGTACAGAAATAAGACCAATCTTGTGCTACGGAACCAATGAGGCCATCATATCATATCATGTATCTACATAATACGTAAAAACATGTATTATAGTCATATCTGAATTATCTGAAGTTGTCCATAGCGGTTAAAATCATGATAACCAGTATAACCACCCGGATACACAGCAGTATCCTAAACTTGTATTATTATCAAACAAACACTTGCAGCTTTTATTTTATTATTCTAACTAATATTCAAACAAAATATGAAGATCTCTATTGAAGATCTTCCAAAGAATCACCATAAGCTGAAATGTTCTGTGTTTAACAATCTATATCTATGAACATTAGCGATTCACGCTCTCCGCGATTGTAATTTTTCTGGCAAATATTATAAAATTAGACTTATTAGGTTTCATGAGAAAAATAAATGTACATAAAATAGAACTCATAAGTAATAACTCACCGTAAAATATCCTTACTGAATGAAGATAATCGAAAAACCGGCTTCAATGTAGACGTCTGCATCTTAACAAGTTTAACAACGTCACTCGTACACAAAACACAGCGGACAATAATCGTTGTTGATAATAATATCTCTCACACTTATCAGTCATGTTACTATTACGTGTAGTTGATAGCCAGGCTAGCCAGTGTTGGTATTTAGGTACTTTATTAAATAGTAAATATAAATATTTGCATCAAAAAGGCGGACCAATCTCGCACCCAGCTCGCCTCTAACGTTTTTACCATCTATGATGACCTTACTCGCCACCTATTTTTAAACAATCTTCAAACGTCAGAGATTGGTCTGACACATGTTCATAGGAATATGTACATTATCCACTAGTTCACAGAGTGGAGATTTACTTGTATCTTAGAGCACTGGTACTTATGAAATATAATTTGGCATCGCGATTGTTGAGACTGTACGAGTCCGTATAACTCTGTTTTGTTTTGAGTATTTTGGTCATAGGCAGTGTTTCATTTGACAAGCGAACTTTGTATCATGGGTTCCATGAAAAAGTCTCTACAAGTATGTAGTAGTTTCCATTAGTTGGGCCCATTGTTCAGTGGGCTGGCACAGTACATACATAGTCCTCTGTGGTCGCCACGCGCCGGCTGGTTTGTACCTGTTATGTAGTCGTACGGTAGTTTGAGAAAGTCATGCACTTTCTTTAATCGCATACCACTCAATGTAATAGAAAATAACTACGGGGATAAAATAGAAAATGTCGTATCGTATTCGCCTGCTAAAATAGTATAAGGGATCCGAACCTATCAAACGTACGTCTGACCTATGCAGTTACTTTTGTTGACTTTTGTTATCCTTATTATCTATGTTTCCCTGCTGATATGACTTAACTGCGGTGACCTGACGAGAACCTGGTATCTATTCAGATATATATATAACAGATATATAACACCGGAATATCACCGCTTTATGAAATTCAGACTTTCAGATTGCGTTATAGATACCACGGCTTTCATAAAAAGATATGAAATTCCTAAAGATGTAATTATCATTTCTTTGTTATGATCATCCTGATTAAATCTAAGCGTTAAACGTAAACGTCAATGTCACTAAACAATAATGATAAACGAAAAGTATGATTGCTAAAATCATTATTAAATTTATTCAACAATTTAGGGGAGTAACGAAAAGGCAAAAAAATAAAGAAATAAACATGAGTTAAATAACAAGAGTAGTTGTCAAAGTCCACTTTCTGTTATTCTTGCAACTTGTCAAAAATTTTAGCAGTGTATTGAAATATGCAAAACAATTTTAATATAAACGCAAAATTTCTGTACCTTGCTTTATGAAGAAAAGGTTTGCATTTAGTAAACAAATCTTGAAACTATTTTATAAGGTAGTCAACTTATATCTTTTGATCAGATGTATATTACATTTAGCCACTGAGAACTGCCACTAATGAACCAACACTACCCACGGGCCAAAGAATATTTTTCGAAACGTTGGATCACTGAGAAAAATGATCCTATTTACTATGGTAAAACTCACCCATTTGTTTATGCTCCGTTTGGGTTCGGAACCCGTAGTTGTATAAGTACATTGTCTTTTGAAGTAAATTTATTCAGTTAATGTAAAAGACACAAAATATTTATGTCCACATTGAACGTTTACGTTACTACAAGGCAAAAGGCTATGCAAGAGCTATGCATTGTAAATTATATTTAAAATTTAAAGTCAAACATATATTTGGTCATTTTTAGTCACTCTCTTGTTTTCTTTAGGAGTGTCATCTTCAATTAGTTTATTACTGAAATAATTATGATATAAAGAATACGTCTCATAATATTTATATGTACTAAATTAAGAACATGTTTCTGGTTACAGTTCATAAAAAAGTATTACTTTGTAATCTCCCCTCTTAAAAACAATAATGGCATTTAATATTATTGTATGGGGTTATAAAAGAGGTAGCTACCTAAACTAGCTTTGAATGAAATATGTTATTTACTAGCTGAGACCCGCGGTGTTACCCACGTTTGTTGTTATAACCGCGGGCAACGGAGCGAGGCGAAGCTAGTCTAAAAAAAAGTAGCTTAAGTCCCGTCGAAATCGGTCCAGCCGTTCCAGAGATTACCCGGATCAAACAGACAGACAGACAGACAAAAATTGTAAAAAATGTTATTTTGGTATATGTACCATGTAAACATACATATGCATTTAGTAAAAAGCGGTTATTTTAATATTACAAACAGACACTCCAATTTTATTTATTTGTATAGATTAATACTTAGAGCAGCTGAAGAGTTACATTCTTCATAAGTGTATTATAAAATTTTGGATTATATATTTAAATTACTTTTCCAGGTCGTAGGATAGCCAAGCTAGAAGTTGAAACATTTTTGACATCGATCTATTATATTGAACTCAAAGGGTTTTGATGTCACTCATCTCATCATCATCATCAAACTGCAATAAATGACCTTTTAACTTTACATCTAAAAGTTTACTATTTTTTGTTATTATATACTAGCTGACCCTGCAAACGTTGTTTTGCTATTTACATATATTTTTTATATTTTTTTTTTATTTCTTAAAAGCCGTTCTTAGCTGACCTCTACTCGGTGAAAAGAATATTCCTACCAAATTTCAAGTCTTTAGCTCTAATGGTGCCAGAGATATCGTGATGAGTGACTATTTACGTGGAAATCTCTTATATATATATAGATAGATAGATGATAGATAAGACACCTAACATAATAACTTTAAGGATAACTTTAAGTTGAAAACTTTAACCTGTTAGAGTCAGATAAATAAATTAGCACATTGGAAAAAAGTTTCTCTATTTTCCTCGTTTTATGAATCTTTTTTTTGTTAATGTCGTACTATGTTGTTATCTTTTTATTAGAATGAGTTCTTTGATAGTTGTAACACCTTAGTGTTAAACACAAACACATTTTGTTAAAAACGTACACTTTGTTGAATATGTCATATGCCGCCTAGACAGTTTTCCTATATACGTAAGTATGTTTATCGATGTCTTGCATTTAATAACGTCGTGTTTAAAGAGTTAGCACGGATTCCGGAAAGAAAACAGCAAAGATATGGACTGAGCTGTAGTACTGCCTTGTAAAAGTTCCGGAGTTGTAGTGCCAGTCAACAATAAAACTAAACACAGATAACATGCAACATTTGATCCACCTGTATTGCGGTGCTTATACCATCAGGCGCTTGAACATCGTGTGATCCAAATATATCCCAGAACTAGACTGCTTAGTTATTGATGGACTGCCCTTCGTGGACAACATTTTTCAAAAATATTTATAGTTGCCTTTTGTAGACTATTAGCGCAGGAGCCATTCGGACGAGTGACCTTGATTTTCGATAAAAAATATTCACGTTATCTTATTTACTAGCTTTTGCTAGCAGTTGCCTGCGACTTCGTCCGCGTGAATTTCTAACGGCAAAAAGTTATCATGTATTTGTCTATAATTATATTTTATTTAATAGACAAAAAAAATTAGGAGGTAGCTGAAATAAGTTACTATTTAATTTATGATCCAATACTATTAATCTATTATCTAATTTACAATACTGCTTCACACACACACACAGTATTATCCGTATAGTAGTCGGGGATCGTATAGTGGTCGCTTTCGCGATGCGATTACGCATATCTACGATGCGGCCATGCCCCGCATCCGAGGTCGTTGGCCTCCAAGGAAGGAGGTTTACTGGTGCGTGGACGTGCGGCCTACACGTCCTACGAGGTCCTACACGCGCAGTCGGCGGCGTCACCGTGGAGACGGTGAGGAGGACCGGCTTCATGAGGAGTACCGACAGGCGCGGAAAACTCTGAAGCTGGCCATTAGCCGCGCCAAGGAAGAAAAGAGAAAGGAGATGCTGGAGGGTCTTGATCGTGACCCCTGGGGTCGTCCTTACCGCGCGGCGCGGCAAAAGTTCCGCGCGTCGGCCTCCCCCCTTACGGAGACTCTCTAGCCCAGCTTCCTGCGAGAAATGGTTGAGGGCCTTTTCCCGCAACGAGCGGAACACACTCCCCCGGCGATGGCCTCCTTGGCCGGAGACGACGGGGAGCACGAGGAGGATGATGTTCCGCCCGTCCGGGATTCGGAGGTAGGGGCGGCTGTTCTACGGATCCGTTCCAAGAACACCGCCCCTGGGCCAGACGGGGTACCGGCCCGAGTGCTGGCCCTAGCCCTCAACCACATGGCAGACCGCCTCGGGGAGGTATTCGACGCTAGCTTGGCGTCGGGACGTTTCCCTGAGTGCTAGAAGAGCGGGAAGCTGGTCCTATTAAGGAAGCCGGGACGGCCGGCCCATCGTGCTGCTGGACGAGGCGGGTAAATTGTTTGAGAGGGTTCTCTCTGCCCGCATCGTCCGGCACCTCTACGAGGTGGGCCCCGAGGTCGGACGCCCAATTTGGTTTTCGGGCGGGGCGTTCGACAGTCGACGCTGTTTTGCGCCTGAGGGCCGTGACCGAAGAGGCCGTGAGCTGTGGCGGCGTGCAGTTGGCGGTGTCGTTGGACATCACCAACGCATTCAATAGTCTGCCATTCAGCTGCATCAGGGAAGCACTCCACTATCATGGGGTGCCAAAGTACCTGAGGCGGCTAGTGGCAGACTATTTAGAGGAGCGTACCGTCGTGTACTAGGACCGAGATGGTAATTTGAGGTGTCGGCCCATGTCGTGCGGTGTTCCACAGGGGTCTGTTCTTGGACCCCTCTTGTGGAACATAGGGTATGACTGGGCCCTTCGAGCCGATTTCCCCCCCGGGCTGGGTGTAATTTGTTACGCAGATGATACTCTGGTGACTGCCCGGGGGGCGAACTTCCCTGGTGGTCGGGCGCATTGAGGCGCTGGGCTTACGGGTGGCCCTAGATAAGACGGAGGCTCTCTTATTTCATGGGCCCCGTCGTGGTCCACCCCCTGGCGCCTCAATCGTGGTCAACTCGGTCCTCGTACCGGTTCAGGCCCAGATGAAGTATCTGGGTCTGATCCTCGACGGGAGGTGGCTCTTCGACGAGCACTTCCGACAGCTTGCTCCAAAGCTGGTCGGCGCTGCGTCTGCCCTAGGGCGACTTTTACCCAATTTGAGTGGACCCAGCGTCGCGACAACGCTGTACACGGGGTTTGTCCGGTCAATGGCACTATACGGTGCACCGGTGTGGGCTACGGCTTTGACCGCCCAGAATAAGGCACGCCTCTGGCGCCCTCAGAGGGTATTGGCGGTTAGAGCCGGTTACCGCACCGTTTCGACGGAGGCGGCTTGCGCGTTGGCCGGAACTCCCCCGTGGGATTTGGAGGCGGAAGTGCTCGCCGAAGTTTATCGGCGAGTGGCTGACTCCCGGGCGGAGAGCGGATTTCGCCCTCCGCCCGAAGACGTGCGCGAGTGGCGCGAAGCCGCTCGCCGAGCCACGATGGCTCGTTGGTCGTTCCGGCTGGAGACTCCACGCGCTGGCTTCGCCGCCGTGGAGGCTCTCCAGCCGGTCATCGCCGAGTGGGCAGGGCGGCAGCACGGGACCCTTACCTTCCGGCTGACGCAGGTGCTTTTCGGGCACGGTTGCTTCGGAAGGTACCTGCACTCGGTCGCTAGGAGGGAACTGAGTCCCGCCTGCCACCCCTGCGACTGCAGTGAGGACTCGGCCCAGCACACGCTGGCGGTCTGCCCCGTATGGGCAACGCAGCGCCGGGCCCTCACTGCAGTCATCGGAGTGGATCTCTCGCTACCGGCCGTAGTAGGCTCCATGGCCGGTAGCGACAGTTGTTTTACCGCAGTCGCAACCTTCTGCGAGGAAGTAATCTCTCAGAAGGAGGCGGCGGATAGGGCCCGGGAGGACGACCTCCACTCGGACCCGATCCGCCGCCGGCGAACCGGGCGGGGGAGGCGCGCTCACCTGCGGCTCATGCCGCCCTGAGTATGGCCGCTGAAATTTGTCTTTGAGTGCATTTAATATGAGTGTGTAGAGAAGGAGATAACTTGATATAACCAAAAAGACATAACGACATTTACTTTTTGACGTAATTCTTTCAATTTATATAACTTTATTATTTGCGAACCGATTGAAATAAAACAAACACTAAATTTTAAGTGAAGTTTACCACAACATATTAGTGTAAACTGCGTCCAAATCGGTTAGCCATTACTGAAATTAGCGCGCAAAAACGCACAGACGAACAGACAAAAACACAAAATTCTAAGAGCTGTTGTTTTAAGTTCTGTTGCTTTAATAAATACATTAGTTTGTGGCGACTCCCACATACAAAAAAACGAAAACATACTACAGCGACATCTAACGAAGACACACCGAACTACGGAGTAACTACTAAATTAGATTTGCTAATCCTGTATCGCGATATGAGGAATTCCCTCGCCGATTAGCGTATATATACAACTTTCCAACATCGGCGCGGCCCGCCAGGCATGATCACCTCGCCTGGTCGGAGGATCCTCCCTTTGTGTGGGAGGGACATGACACCCGTTCCTACAAAAGTTTTTATTCAATATCTTCAATCGAAACAGGACAAATGTGCAGACATCGACCTGTTACAATTTTATTAAATGTATAGATTTGAAAAAAAAAATTGAATTTTAAGAACAAATACAAATAAAATACAACTAGGTTAGTACCTATTAATAGTATTTAAAGCGATTTTTGATAAATAAATATGTACATAGAACATGTATACGTCAACGTATGAACGTCAGGCAATTCAAAGGTGTGTTACCTATTACGTAACCGCGTTAACACATACAAATAATATTTTAAACTTTATCGTTCAAAACATAAAGTTTAAATTTGTAAATACTCACCAAGCCTCTGTCCATGTTTTGGTTGTTTAATGAGGCGGAGAAGGTCATCAATGATAAAAACGTTTGTTGTAACGCACAAAAACATTTGTCTCGGAGTTGAGTTCGGATTAACGTTCGAAAATGGTCAATCTAATTTAAAACGCATAAAAACGACTTATGTGAATATGTAGTGTTTTTTCTAAAGAAAACTTAGTCCAGAAGGATTGGTGTACAATTTAATAATAGTGTGTAAATTAAGGTTACGATGCAGTCTCAACTGAAAGCCTTCCTTAGGATAACTTCATATAAATGTGATATTATAAGGTAATTTGTTTTAAAGTTTATTTATTATTATTAATTAACAAGTAGTATATAACTTACAAAAATATTGTATTTTTCTAGTAGGGTTCTTTTAATGGTTTCCGATTTTTATATACTTTGTGGATTTAGCGACGGCGACAGTTGATTCTTTGTAAGTTTAATGATTACGTGTCTAATCTCTCCATAATTACTATATATTTTATCTTCAAGAATATTATGTAGTTTATTTTAAACATTTACATATACAATAAAATTACTTTTTAAGTATAGAGTGAGGCACAAAAATTATGGTTATAAATGAGACTAGTGGGAGAAATTGTAAAAGAGATTTGTTATAAAGAACAAATAAATTAATAACTTTATACCTTGCTTCTAGAACACTGACAGTTACGAGTGATATAAAGTCAGACGAGATTTTGAAATCATGGAGAGATGTACCCGGGCCAAAATCATTACCAATTATTGGACAACTACATCACTTTTTACCTGGAGGTACTTGAGCACTTACGTTGTGTTCTTTTAATAATTCTTGAACATCAATTAAATATACATATTTTTCTTGTTGTATTATGTGTGTGTGCACTGTGTAATAATATCGATAATCGATAATAATAATAGCGATAATCTATTTAGTATAAATGTAAAATATTGATGAGGCACGTACCTGAGCTTTCAATTTAGCCAGAGGTCGTGGGTTCGATCCATACTTAGGTCAAAATATTGTGTGATGAGCACAAATTTTATAGAAATTAAATTATTTAATTTACAGCAATATTAAATTTACAGCTAGCTATTTTCTGTGGTATATTCAGTCAAAAATGTATCGGGAATGGATGATTTGTTAATGGTTCCAAAATCATTTTTTTTTTGTTGTTGTTAGATTGGCACAACTGTTTTCGCTTTTTGTTTTGTTGTTTGAGTTGCATCTGTTATTTACTACTCTGTCAAGAAAGTACCGGGAAAAGATCAATAATACACAAAATGTTTCTTATTCATCCAAATTTATTTTATCACCTTCAAAGTATGCTCCTTCAGAAACGATACACTTAGGCCAACGAATAATCCAACCATCAAAACATTTTTTAAACGCTGTTTCCGGAATTGAGTTCAGTTCTCGCCGCGAATTCTCCTTTATGTCTTCGATAACTTCGATTGAAAACGGGTGCCACGAAGTGGTAATTTGAGTTTAGGAAAAAGAAAGAAGTCGGCGCGAGCCATATCTGGTGAATATGGTGGTTGCTCGATGGTATTTGTTGAGTGTTTGGTCAAAAATTCGTTAACAATGATGGCCTTGTCGGCGCATTATCGTGGTGCAAAATCCAAGAATTTTCTTTCCACAAATCTGGCCTTTTCTTCGAATTTGCTCTCTTAAATGTCGCATAACGCTCAAATAATATTCTTTATTTACCGTTTGACTTTCCGGCAAGAATTCCGAGTGCACAACACCGCGATAGTCAAAGTAAACAGTCAACATGAGTTTGACTTTTAATCGACTTTGGCGTGGTTTTTTCCGTTTCGGTTCAGTTGGAACCATAAACGAATCATCCATTCCCGTTACTTTTTTGACTGAATGTATATTAAATACAGTGCTGTTTTTGTGTATCGTTTCTGAAGGTGAATAATAAGCATACTTTGAAGGTGATAAAATTAATTTGGATGAATAACAAACATTTTGTGTATTATGGATCTATTCCCGGTACTTTCTTGACAGAGTAGTATGTATTTATTTTGGAATATTTAAGCATATTTAAAAGTGATCTACTTTAAACCTTTTTTTTATAATTTTTGATGACAGGTGAACTAAGGAGTTTTGAAGAGCCTGATGTAGTACAGAGGTTGTACGATAAATATGGCCCTATAGTGAGGTTTGACGGTATGTTTGGAATGGGCAGTATGATTGTAGTAAGCGATCCGGAAATAACGGCTTATGTAGGTTTCTCTGGTTTTTTTTTACAAATCTCTTTTTCTTCTATTCTGTTCTATATATCATATAAATAGAGTGGTGTTGTCAAGGTATTACATACTTTTGGATTACCTGGAAATAAATTTCATTAAAAAAATATTATTATTTACCTCCGGTTATGAATTTGCATATCAAGTTTAATAAAAAAAATGTAACTACTTTTATTATTTCTTTCAACCATCTTCGGTAATAAACATCAACAATTTTTGCTATGTCAGCTTATGTGAATAAGCGTCTATTTATATGAATTAATATATGTTCGCTTATGTCAATTTTCAAGTTCAATTGTGTATTTGTATATTTTTCTTCCATTGTTTGCGCCTTACATAGTGCTACTGTAAGCTTAAAATGAGACGAAACTTTTGTAGAATATCAGTATGCCACAGCAGTTTCGTCACATTTTAAGCTTCCGGTATAAATACAGTAAAATTAATCATTTGATTAATTTTTTACTCAGGTATCTGTTTAATTTTGGGAACGCTTTTTTTACCAAAGTCTTTTTGCAGATATTGAGGAGCGAAAACTTCTCACCAAACCGGCCCGGTTTTGTTTCATTAGAATATTATAGAAAAGACTACAAGAAAAGCAAGGGTTATGCGGTTGGGATAACGGGCCTTATGACCGAGTATGAAAACCCTTTCTAAAATTTCAAATTGAACTCTTTACTCACGTAATGTTTTAAAGGCATACAAAAAAGCATAAAGGTCAACTAGTATTAAGTAAAAGAAATACATATAAAGGGAATTCATCATCATCACTTGTTGTCCGTTCATCATTCCGTGTGGTGACGGATTAAGAATACAGAGTGTCACCACCCCTATTCATCCCGTGGGTGTCGTAAGAGGCGACTAAGGGAGCGCAATACGCAGAACAATAGCACTGCAGAGAGAAGGAAAACTTGACACAAACCCTATACCAACCCGTCTGGCCAGCGTGGTATAGTAGGCCAAAACCTCCTTTCTAAGGAGAGGCCTATGTCCAGCAGTGGACTGTTAAAGGCTGTTGATGATGTTGATGACTTATTGTCTCGCACTACCAATCTGTGGAATAAATTGTTGTTGCGGTATTTCCGGACCTATATGACCTTCAAACGTTCAAGGCAAGAGCGAACTCCTACCTAAAAGGCCCGCTACGCGTTTGTTACTCCTAAGTTACAGATGCTCATGGGCGGCTGGAGTTACTTTCCATCCGGTGACCTGCTGCTCGTTTAGCCCCTTTAAAATAAAAATAAAAACTAATTGTTTCCTGCTATTTTACTCATCATCATTTTCTTGCTATTTACCCTATTTTAATTGTAATTTTTCTTTTTTGGCCAGCCGCATGCATCAAGCTTACCTGTTTTGGGCGTGTAAGATAAAACAGGTTAAAAAAAAGGATGGAGTAAGGGAGCTAGGGAATTGTTATAAAATATAACATTAAATAAATTGCCAGTTTAAATTCTACGCAATATATTTAGAAAAAGTCTTTAGATATTATTCACTGTGAGATTTTTAATACCATGGTACACAGCAATTTTTTTTTTTGATTTAATGTATTTGGCCAAATTTTTACTCGAATTTGAGCTTGAAAAATAACAACTAATGAACTAAGTATTTGATATTTTGCTTAAGTAGGTATTTGATATTTTTCTTTAAAAAGTTTATTTACAGTCATGGCGATAAATGGAAAGAATTAAGATCATCTGTCAATCCTGTTATGTTACAACCGAACACTATTAAACTTTACTGCACTGTGCTTGATGGAGTGGCCCAAGATATGATTAAAAGGTAGGCATGAGGAGTTTTTTGTAAAAATATTAATCTATTTGAAATAGAAAAATGGCAAAATATAAATAAAACGATTGCTACGCAAAGTCCATTGTCCCTGTCCTACGGTCTAATGTAAAATTCGTAAAGGAATCTTAAGTAAGTTAGTTAGCTACGATTTCTTGCCTTGATTAATATTGGCTAAACTTAAGGCTTAAACTTAAAATCTGAATTGATTAGCAAAATTTACTTAAGCCGAGCCATGAACAAAATCTGATTATATTTATTTCACTTAAAGTTCTATGCAATATGGTTCATAAAGTCAAGTCAAGAAAACGGGTGAAAACTCATTAAGTGTTTATTCTATTGGTTACTAACAGATAGCTTTTGGAGCTCGATTACAATCAATATTTGCAATAACGTGCAAGAATATTTTAATCTATTTAGCGTCTGGTGAAACCGAAAGTGAAATAAAAATAATATTTTCGAACATCTAACACAACGCCATCTAGTTTCAAACTAAGTAGAGTCTGTACTATGATCCATGTTTATGGAAGAGAGTTAGAAATTATATTGTAAGTATCGAGTTTTACTTTTATTGGTGCAAAAAAAAAACAGCTTGAAATTTATGTCCATTAGATAATGAATAAACATAATCTATGTGGGTAAATAAAAGATATGTAAATATCTCGCAAATCAATTCTTTTGTGTGATTTACATGTCAGATTCTTACAAAAACCCATTCCTTGTTTTGAGGTTTCTTATAGCTTCGTTTAATAATATTAAAAAGGAAATAGATAATTTTGAAAAATGTTTCACATTTTAGAATGAAAACAGTGAGAGACGAGAAGTACATGATTCAAAATAAATTCGACAGTGAAATGAACCTCTGGGCACTAGAATCTATTGCTACAGTAGCTCTTGGGTGCCGACTGAACTGTTTAGATTCCACATTGCCTGACGACTCACCTGAAAAACAATTGATTCAATGTGTTCATGAATTGTTCAACACCGCTACACAACTGGATTTTAAGCCAAGCATTTGGCGATATGTTTCGACTCCACTGTTCAAAAGAGCCATGAAACTATATGAACAACATGAAAAGTAAGGTTCAATTATTTTATTTGTTTGATACGCTTTATTAAACTTTTAAACTCGCATTTAACTAAAGACTTAATAATAATAGCGATGTAATACAGCTTCGTTTGGTGCATGTGGCAATTCGCCTTCAACACCTCACTGGAGTGTTAAGTCAGAATCAAACCGACTCAAACAACACACACAGTGGTAAATACTGCGTCAATTAATGTTTTCAGCCTTACGAAACATTTCCTCAAAAAAGGTATGAAGCAGTTGACGTTGAATACAGATCAAAAAGCATCACACGAAAAAGGTGTTTTAGAAAAATTGCTTGAAATTAACGAAGAATATGCATATATTATGGCCAGTGATATGTTGTTTGCTGGAATCGATACGGTAAGTGAGTAAAAGTAGTAGTAAAAAGTAAAAAGAACTTATGTCAAATTTCGAAATAATTTGAAAATTGTGCTAAAACACCATAAATCTCTCCTAGAATTTTTTTTTTTTGGTTTATGCCCAGCAGTTCCATGAAGCCAGTTCCACATGCGACTTTTGTTACCCACTAGTTCCATGTATGGAAAAAGCTATCCAAAGCGGGAAATTATACCCAAATAGTTTCGTAAAGTTCCAGTTACGTAGCTTGTTGTATTATAATGAAATCCTTTTTCTTATGCGGCATGCACCATTGACCTGTACCACCAAAAAAATTAGTCTCCCCTACACCTTTGGTGTACTTATATTTACTATTTTTTTTGTCTGTACCATTAATGGTGAAAGCGAAACCGCATTGATAGTATGGTCTCATCTGCACTATTGAGATGACACTATGCTTATCTTTTACATGAAGATCGGTACTCGTAACAACAAACGAAGATCGGGTCGGAATCACCTTGCGCCTATTTTTATGGTTTTTAAAACGTTTTTAAACACAGATACAGTTAAGAAAAAACAGTTACAAGCAATTTTTTGACCTTAATCATATTTCCCTATAAACGTGTTCATAACATCACGAATATATAAATAGAAATGAAATACTGTGGAACTTTATAAGGTCGAAAATTGCTAGCACGATTTTTTTGCAATAGTTGTACATATACATAAAAAATATAAAAATAGGCGCAATGGGCGTGTGATTTCGATCCAATCTTCGTTAGTTTTTACCGATCGCATACAGACATCAAACAACCTGTCAATATTAGTAATATCGATAACTGATTCAATCTCTACGGTGGGTAACACTAGTCAGCTGTAAAAGTAGGATAAAATCACATGGAACAAATGGTACAAAAACCGCATTTTTGAGGTTACATCAGTACCATGTAGAAATGGCTTCATGGAACTACTGGGAATAAACCTTTTCTTTTGGCCACTAGAAAATCTTATACAGTTCCATTTTTCTTGACTTAAATTAAACATAAGAAACAACTTATTAACAGGCTGCCAATACGATGACTGCTGTACTTTATCTTCTGGCGGTTAACCAAGATAAACAGAATAAGTTGAGAGAAGAAATAGTGTCAAAGTCAGATCGCAAACCATATCTGAAAGCGTGCATCAAAGAAGGACTACGGTTAATGCCGATAATATCCGGCAATTTCAGACGATCTACCAAGCAGTATAATATAATGGGTTACAGAATACCTAAGGACGTAGGTGCCTTTTGTTAATTTCCTGTTATTTTTCAAAAATTACAATATTTGAAAAAGATTTGAAAAGATTTTCCTGTGACGGCGCAAGCGTACGACTCTATTACCTTGGTCTTGTTCTTGTTGGGCCAGTTTTTATTATGTAGTCTACACAAGCTGCTCTGTTTTATGTGATTTTATTAACTTGGCTTCTTAACAATCGTTAATTTTGATATTTTACTAGCTTTTGCCCTCGGCTTCGCCTGACTATATGTCAGGTATCGCGGTAAAAAGTAGCCTCACTTGCCAAATTTCATAAAATCGGTTCAGCAGTTTAGTCGTGAAAGCGTAAAAGTCAAAGTTGCTTTCGTATTAATAATATTTGTAGGAATTATAACATCTCATTTCATAATAAGTGTGTTAAATAAGCTAAGTTCTATAGAGTATGATGCATTTTTAGATGAATCTTGTGTTCAGCAATAGTCAAATGTCATTAATGGAGCATCATTACCCGCGAGCCAGAGAGTATATTCCTGAACGTTGGACTGCTGAGAAAAATGATCCACTTTACTACGGGAAGGCCCATCCGTTTGCGTATGTCCCATTTGGGTTCGGTACTCGGAGTTGTATAGGTATGTTTAGGTGGTGTGGTGGTGGTGTGTGGTGGGTGGTGTTTATATATGGTTGTCTAAATGAAAACAAAAAGCATAACTCACATCGCTATAGTATTACTCACATCACATGAATGATGATGAATTTTATTAAAATTTTCAATTACATACTTTGTTGTCTTAAACTTTTCTTACAAATGTTCTTACTTCCTCTTTTTGATGTAAGCTATAAAAATTTCAGGTCGCCGCATTGCTGAATTGGAGATCGAAACGTTTTTATCACGTGTCATAGAGAACTTTAAAGTGGAATGGTTGGGTCCTCCTCCGAAGCTGGAACACTCATCAGTTTTGCACGTTAAGAGTCCTTTTTACTTTACCTTTAAAGATATAAAATAATCTGTGTGTATCAGTATGATGTAATCAATATTTTACAATAAATGACAACAACTTTCGTGCTTATTGTATTGCCATAGTATTTAAAATAAATATGCTGGTGTAAGTAAGTATCATGGTTGTATATAAAATTTTCACATTATATTAATATTTTAGATTGGTACACGGTGTATTTGGCTACATAATAAATGCCTAAAACGTCGTATATAGGATTGCACTGATAAGTTACTTAGGCATTGCCAAATTTCAATTCTGATAATATGAAGAAATGCAGGAATGAAACCCTTCCGAATATTTTATTAGGTATTTTCATCTTACTGCCAGTTTGAAACATTTCTGACAAGAATAATTTGTTTGGAGGTGAATTTATGATGGTAAATTCGGTGTAATAACATTTTCTAGTTAACGAAGTGTACTTGACACGGGTAGAGGTAGCGAATTCGTTCATTTCACGAACTTTGAACTCAATTTTCTCAGAAGAAAATAAGTCGTAAATTAAACTGTAGGCTACGTTGGTTTGGAGTTAGAATGCACATTTTATTTAATTTGTCTAGAAAGAGTAATAACTTAAGAAAAAATGCATTATATTGTTTTTTAAATGAAAGTGTTTAATAGTAGAATATTTTAGTTAATGATAAGTTTTGTAACCGGTGTTTGAATTAATAATAAGACTACCGAAGCACGCTAAGACCATGTAGGCTTGCATAACATCGTAAGGATGTTTAATGAAGAATGAACATCGTTTATATATATCAAAACATAGCTTAAACTTTGTGACAGATCTTGTAAGAATCTTATTCTTTGGTTGTATACAAATCGAGTGTCCAGTAAAATAAACAATTATGTTGACAAGAATAATAGCTTTGAACTACTGAGTGATTTTATACTACGATGATTACTGAATAAACATGGGTTTTTTTAATAACCTCTAAAATTACATACAATTTAGTTACCTAAAACACTTCGTCACCGATACCAAAAGGGATATTTTGGATTTTTTATGAAAAAGTACAAAATTTATGATGAAAAAATACTTTTATTGTATTCTTTAATACATAAAACATGTATAAATTAGGTATTGCCACAAATATTGTTACACGGCGACGAAATAGCACGTTTAGGAAATCTTAAATTAAGCCAATGAAGAACTGCTTCAAAAAGAGCAAAATTTATGTAAAATGACTTGTAATTAAACAGAAAATTTATCTTAAATTTAATCTAATCTTAATTTATCTTATATATATACCAAATAGATACCAAATACCCAATAAATAATAAAGTTCTGATCGAGGTCAATATTGTCAGGGATCTGGGCGTATATTTGGACAGTCAACTGCGATTCGCAGAACATATTGATAAAACTTTAACCAGTGCTTATAAAGCGCTTATTATTAAAATTCTAATGAATTTGGGCACCCATCCACAACAATAATTTTGTATAACAGTTTCGTGCGAAGCAGGCTTGAATATTGTAGTGTTGTATGGAACCCGACATACCAGGTACACACCACAAGAATTGAAAAGATACCAGAAAGACTTTTATATCACTTGGCCTACAGAAACAAAGTTTGTAACTCAATAAGGTAGTATTCTGGCAGACTTAGCTACTTCAAGCTCGCATCTCTTGAAGCCCGCCGCAAGGTTTTTGACATAATGTTCATATACAAGTTATTCAATAATGGAACTGACTGTCCAAGTCTCCTGAGTAAATTCTATATTAATGTACCTAGCAGGTTACCTCGCTATCCGGGTTAACACACAAATCTTGGTAAACACACTCCTATAATTAGAATGACTAACCACTTTAATGAAGTATCAAATAGATCTAATGATATAGATATCTTCAGTAATACCATAGGATATTTTAAATTTCTTATCAATAAACAGCTGACATCAATTTAATGTGAATTTATTTGATTTAAATTATATATTATCAATGTAACTGTATATAATCTTATAATCTTATATTGTTGATTATTTAATTGTTAACCATATTGTTTGAATTGACTTAATGAATTTAACAGCAATTTTAATTTAATTTATTTACTTTTAGTTTGTGTAATAATAATTTCTGATTCCAAATGTTATGTTTGACTCTTAATGCAGGCTGTGATCTTCTGTAATTAAGGAAACACCAGATCAATAATATTATTATAATAATATTATTTTCTGTGAATGCTATGTGATATTCTTGTTGCAGATTCTTAATAAATAAATCAATAAATAAATTAATATTCGTAACCTGAGTCGCTTCAAACGCTGAACTTCAATTAGTTTGTCATCAATCATACAAAGTCCACAACGAGTTTTTGTATAAATCCCTCAGATAACATAATCCAATTTCAATTGTGTCACGTAATGTATGCATGTACATATATTAGGGTGTCCCTATAAGGACATTTTTTTTTTTGATATTAAGTACGCCCTTTAATTTTTTTCTAATTGACCCTAATAACTAAAATAAAAAATATTATTCTTATCAGATAACGATAACCCGTGCCGACTTAAAGTCAAACTTTTAAGAAAATATTTTTATGAAGACTGTTCAGGACATTTCGTAACATAACTTTTATTCGTTATTTATTAAAATATTTACAGTCAGGGTATACAGGTTTATGTTCCTCTTCAACAGTGATTTTAAATAGAACCTCTCTACCGTAACATTAAAGGCTCTCAGTATCTTCAACTATTTCTCAACTTGTTGAAAAGTAGTATTATTAGACCACGCAGTAGGACAGGACTCTTTGGAGAACTTTCATAAATTTGGAAATTATTAAACAAGTACTTGCTTTTTATAAAACCGAAGTCATCGATGACTCTTAAAGTGAACCAGAAAGACCTTCTTTGGAAGGGATGCTTCTTAGCGTACATTGTGTACTTTCCCTTGAAAGCTTAGAAACTATTTTCTTTCTTGGTCTACATTTTTTTAAATCGACGTATTTCAGTACAAATTCTTTGAATGGAGGACTTGCTTTTGGAAATTTGTCGTGTTGAGTGTCAGTGCCTCAATATTCATATACATATCAGACTGTATTTGTTGTTATGTCAATAGTACCCACTATTGACATAATAACAAATGGTTCTAGTTAGTTAGTTCTAGTTTTAGTTCTAGGCATATGAAATTTTATTTATAAGTGTTTTGACATTTTTCAAATAAAATAAGAGGGTATGCGTTGGAAAAAAAAACTGATTTTTGGGACACCCTTATGTATATTTATTTTGCTTAATATATATCTTTTTGCATTTAAGCAAAATTATCAGATGATAGTCAGAATATCAGTAGATGATGATAATGATTTGTTTGTAAGCTGCTCTACATTTCGTAGCTTTACTAAATTTAATTAAAATTTCTAGAATAAATGGATGGAGATAAATTTACTTGCTGTCAGTATTCTTAAAAATGTATTACCCCAAAAGTACTCATAGTTTATTTTCAAGTTTTTGAGTTTGATGTCAAGGTGGGGGTGTACAAGATCTCAAGATATAGGGGTAGGGTGCAGGTCTACAAGGTGGCCTGACGATCTGGTGAAGGTTTCGGGAAGCCGTTACTGGCAGCACAGGAGCGGTTGTTGTGGAGAGCCTTGGGAGAGGCCTATATCCAGCAGTGCATAGACGTCTTTTGCCTGAGATGATGATGATGATATTATATAGAACACAATTTGTCATTTTTGCAGCTACAACAATGTCAACAGCTGTCATTCAAAAACATGATGTTTAAATTTGAATAGTTCAATTATTTACATTAAGCAAACAACTTATGATCTATTCAACTTTAACAATTAAACTTAGCTAACAATGAAATAATGGAATGACTGACTTGGCAAAAAGATAAAGGTGTCACCCTCACATCTATGCATAAAAATAGGTATATTAAACATACAAATTTTCTGCTGACTGTAAAACTCAAAATATCTTTATTCAAATAAAAAAATTGAAATCTTCTTAGACTCTTAAGTCAAAGATCAACACACACAATAGCAACAATCTGTTTCATCAAATATTTAGCACAAGGAAGTTAATCCATTATATGCCTGTGCGGATCTACGTCCGCCCGTTTCCAAGGAGTTGAGCCCTATGAGAAGAAAGGGCAAACAAACTCACGGCCAATCTTTTTTAATTACAGCTAGATACAGTCGCATCATTAAAATTTAAAACAATATTGTTTTGATGTGTAATTGCAGTGTTCATAAAGTTTAAGGAGTAACCCATTGCTCAAACTGCTCATTTGTCAATCGGAAACTTTAGGAGTTGGATTTGAAAATTGGGTAATTAAATTGAACTGAAAAGTAGGTAAGAAGAAAGGTAGAAAAGGGATAAGGCTTATACGGATAGATCGAGAAGGTAATGGTCGTATTCCTGTAAAGCGAAATTATTATGGACTGCTAATATTATTCCAACTATGATGTGTGATATATATGACGAACCGAAAGATGATTCCAGTCATCATCATCAACAGCCTATACTAGTCCACTGCTGGACATAGGCCTCTCCTTAGAAAGGAGGTTTTGGCCTACTATGATTCCAGTAACTTTACACAAACTCGTATTGTAGTATGGTACTACCAATAAAGGATCAGTGCTTTGTTTTTTTTTCTATGATTTGGGACATGTTCCCGAAACAAGTCATCTATGTGAATTTACGTCATAAATATTTCAAATAACGAAACATAGATGAATTTTCGTATTGCCGTACAGAAATATGGAACGGTTTGGAAGAACGGCTGTCCCAGGGGAAATTTGCAGCGTGTACCCAATTTTTTTCGATTGAAACTGACTTTGCATCACAATCCAGTTTAGTACAAGTTAATCTTCACTTCTTTTAAACGTATTTCATATAAGCTAACATAGTAATAATACATATGGGTATGCTATGCTACTGAGCTAATTACATAGTTTTATTGATGAAGTTACGAGTAGACAGAAACATCCTTTGCCATCTTAATAATGGTCATTTTGACACAGGATTTTTCTAATTATTGTTTTCAAACCGAATATTTTGATATT